CTAGTTCCAGGACAGCTTCCAAAGCTACAGAGAAACCCTGTCTCGAAAACCAAAAAGAAAGAAAAAAGAGGTTTTTAAAGCATAGCACTAATTCTATCTCAAAGCACATCTAATATGAAGCAATTGTTTTCAGGGCCATTTTTTTTCAGTTACTGTAAGCAAATGTTAATCTAAGATAACAGGGAATTCACAAGAATAAAGGAAGTCCTGAATAAAGCAGATGTTTAAAATGGTTTTATAAAAATCATTTTTACTTTGGGGCTATTTTTGTTTTACTAGAATATATAAAATGCTGATAAATGAATAATGATTATTCAAAACTATGAAATATTGGGGGAAAATTAATAACAAATGACTATAATGACTATAAGCTGGCTTTTTTTTTGCAAAAGCAGGCATATGTGTGCATATGTGTGAATAAATTTTCACTTTTACCAGAAATAGCAAGAAGATAAACTGAAATCTAAAGGAAGAATTAATCTGTAAATAAGCAAATGGCCCAAGATGACCACTCTACTCTGCTATTAATGGAAATGTTTTATTACTAGGGAATTTCCTTAAAAGTTCTGCCATGGTAGGGTGAGGTGGTGGCACAAGCCTTTAATCCTAGCATCTGGAGGCAGAGGCAGGCAAATCTCTATGAGTTCAAGGCCAGCCTGGTCTACAGAGCGAGTTCCAGGACATCCATGTCTATAACCCTGTCTCAGAAACAACAAGAATAACAAAAACCCTGTCAAGTATTGTTCCTGGAACCAAAGATGACACAGAATGTCTTGCACTTTTGGATCCACATTCTAACCAGAATGCACACATAAGAGCCACAATTGTGACTGTAAGACACTTTGCAATATAACAATGCAAATATAACTTAGAGAGGAAAATTTGAAGTGGAGAAGAGGATTAGACCAGCAGTTATTCTCCGGTCTGCAGCTGAGAAACTCAGAAATGTCTGGACTATTTTGCATTGTTTGTGAGACAGGGTCTTACAGTGGTGCCCTGGCTCGTCTAGAACTTGCAGTGACTTGTGTCTCAGCCTTGTATGAGCCGGGGTTACAGTCGAGCATCTCAACACACAGCTCATTCCTGATTGCCACATCGGGATGGGTAGATGATGTCCCTGGCATCCAGTGGGTAGAGTCCAAGGATGCCATGAAATCTCCTATGGCACATGGGACACCCTTGCTCCACCAGGCAACACTAGAATGCTGCAGCTCAAAATGTAAACAGTGCTGAAGTTGAGGAACTCTGGGTTATAATGACATTGTGGAGGCTGATGTTTAGACAGCCTTTGTGCTGAGGTTCCATTTGAATACAGACTTGTGTGAGGCAAAGGCAGACAATTGGAGAAAGAGCAGGGAAAAGAGCCACCACAGGGCATGATGCAGATGTACATGCGGTGCACTCTGGGAACATTGGAGATCTAGCATGCCACCAGCAAAGCGAGCACAGGGGAAGGAGAGAAGTTCATTCAGTGACTTATACACATTCTTCTAGGTTGCAGTACATATTTTGGATTTTTTTCCCACAGTGTCAACAAAGTGTGACTCATAGCAGTTCATTCTGGGCCACCACTAAAATATTAACTATTTTGTGTCCACTTTTGTTTGGAGCTTTGTATTTGAGACAGGGTCTCCCCATGATAGTTTTGTCTAGCCTTTGTACTTACAGTGATGCTCCACACCATGCAAAAAAATTTTAACTATCTTATCTAAGAGGGCTTCACCAGTCAATTGAAGGTTGATGAGTATTTTTTGTTGGTAACAGGGGCCTAAACCAGGGCTACTTGCTAAGCAAGTGCTTCACCACTATCAAAAGTGGTACACTTTGTCCAAAAGCTCATGAAATTCTGTGTTTAGTTGTACTGCCATGTGTATTTATATTCCTATTGATTTTTGTATTGGTAAAAACTGAATCAGGGCTTTATGCATACCAAGTATGAGCTCTACAACTTGACCCCAAGTTCTACTATCAAATTCTCTTAAAAGCAGATTGCTACTTTTTACTCATTTTTACATTTGAAAGGCTATTTTCTCTGTGTTTATGTATACACGGGCGTGTGTACCATGGCAGAGGTCAGGATAACTTAGGGGAGTAGTATCCCTCCTTGCACCATGTGGATTCTGAGAATTAAATTCAGGTTGTTGCCTTGGCAGCAAGTGCCTTTACCTGGTAAGCCTTTTTACTGGCCCTTGTTTAATTGTATTAATTTTAAAAAAACATTTATTTATTATGTATACAACATTCTGCCTGCACGTTTGCCTGCACACCAGAAGAGGGCACCAGATCTCATTACAGATGGTTGTGAGCCACCATGTGGTTGCTGGGAATTGAACTCAGGACCTCTGGAAGAACAGTCAGTGCGCTTAACCTCTGAGCCATTTCTCCAGCCCTAATTTAATTTTATTAATTTTAGTGTGTGTATATTATAATGAGGAGTGAATTTTTGGACTAGATAAGTTACTAACATATCCCCAGTCACCTTTTTATTCTGACACAGGATCTCATTAAAGTACCCAGGCCAGCTTTGAACTTACACTGTAGCCCAGGTTGTCTTTGAGCTTGCCATCCTCTTGCTGCATGCAACCTTCCAAAGAGCTGAGATCACAGGCCTTCACAATGAGGCCCAAGACACTTAAAAAATCTATTGAAGGGCTGGGGATGTAGATTAATTTGTAGAGTATTTGCCTAAGTTGCATGATGTCCTGGGTCCAGTCCTTGCAGTTCTGCAAAACTGTGCATGGCAATACATGCCTGTAATACCAGCACTCAGGAAGTGAAGACCAGAGTATCAAACATTCAAGGTCATCTTCGGCTACATAGGGAGTTTGATCCCCACCTGAGCTATATAAATTCCTATCTCAAAAATTAAAAAAAAAATCTACCAGCTATAATATCTGTATTTTAGGGCTACTTGACATTCATGCAGTCATTTATATCTCCTTCAAAGTTAAACAATTTTTATGGTCAATTTTCATGTTCTTTGTGTTGAATTTAAGAGTCAAGCATTGAACTCTGTACATGTTAACTACTTATATATAGAAATGAACTCAGGAACATGCACAGTTGCTAAAGAGAACAAAACAATTTGCATGGAACTGTGGAAGAATGTGAGCAGCTCTTGGACATGAACTGTGGACTTAGATGTGTCTGCTCCTGAGCATGTATCAGTCTGGTTCTTCTACTTCCTTTATAAAGTAAAGATGGAGCTCAGTACTATGGACTACATCAGACATAGTGAAAAGTACATTGCATAGTTGAAGGGACACACTACAGGAATAGCATAATATAATAATATAACATAGGATTTAATCAGAATTTAGTCACTGATTTGCATATAATCTCTCCAAGTTTTAGTGTTTTTCTGTGTTTTATGCAATCTCTCAGATTGCTTTTGTCTCAGTCATATTCCAGACCAGAATACATTGAAATTCATAATGCCACCTTAGAACATATTTTTGAAAGCCAGAGGTAGAAAAATAATGCTTATTAAATATATAGATATAGGTGCTACTCTATACTAACTACTATTCCTCATGATCTAAATACAATATTGTTACCGTGGTGACTCTTCCTTGAGAAGCACACACCCATGTTCTTAGGTGTGTCTTACTTTCTGACAAGTGTCTCTCTTTTTCTTAACTCTTTCATTTAAAGTTTTATATTCAGGCCGGGAGTTGGTGGCGCACGCCTTTAATCCCAGCACACAGGAGGATCTCTGTGAATTCGAGGCCAGCCTGGTCTCTAGAGTGAGTGCCAGGATAGGCTCCAAAGCTACATAGAGAAGCCCTGTCTCGAAAAAACCCCCAAAAATTTATATTCAAATGCTGGTCTTATTCTCTTTTTTCATGAATTATTTTTTCAGTGCTGGTGATGGAACCCAGCACCTCACACATACCAGGCAAGCACTCTGTCACTGAGCTATACCCCCAGCCCTTATGGTCT